GCATTATTAGGATCTGGCGCACGTTCAGTGTTGGTGGCACTGTGGGCCCTGGATGACAAAGCAACAGAGCAGTTAATGACCCATTTCTACGATCACCTTGTTGCTGGGGAAAGTGCTGGTGAATCTCTACACGAGGCCATGAAGTGGATGAGAAGTAATGGCTATGACGTGAACCAGTGGTCACCTTTTATACTGATTGGAGATGACGTGACATTTGATTTTGGAACGAATGGTAAGATTTAATGAAAACACGCGCTTCCATATCTTTTCAAAGGGCTCCTGGTATTTACTCACAGTTTCCTTAGATGTCATCGATCAAACGTTTTGTAATATCAAAAGAGGGTTAGGTTTTTGTATATCTGATTATTTCTTTATCGTTCAGTTGTCATTTGATCTTGTGCCTCTAATATATTTTACAACTGATAACGTACTCTGTCGATCATGAGGGTGACGAAACTTTAACGTAGTTTTTGAACGAATTAAAAAACGCGCTCGTATTTCGAGGGTCAGTGACCACATGAAAAGTGCGGAGATCTGAAAAATTGCGAATTTTTGGCATCTTGACTTTCTCGCATTTTGACATCTCACTTTTTCTGCGCTGGATTTGGTGATGAAATTATGTTCTGTATATTCTCCAATGAATTTTCAATGTTGTTGTGAAAGACAAATGGATCACGTTGGCTGTTTTGCATGGTCCACCTTCCTTCCAACGCGTCCAAAACTCTATTCTGAAACTGTGCACGGTTCCAGCAGAAGTTTACCTTTTAACAAGCCACAGCCATGAATCCGACTTATTTGTTAAAATGAATCTATATTTTGTAATTAGGCAACTGCTTTTTAAGAAAATGTATTTAGATGGTTACTATTTTTTTTTGGTTTGTTTATTTTCTCTGTCAGGTGTTGGAAAGAATGATCAGGACGGCAGCGAGTGATTGTGTGAGAAGTAAAATATGCCATGACCTCAATTGACAGTTTTAGTGGTAGTGCTATAAATTAAATGGACGTTTAACTTTTGGTCCTTTTCTGTCTAAAAGATTCCTCATTTCTCTTGAGGTTACTAGGTATTCTAGCAAAAACATTTTTGAAACTTAATCGGAGTCTGCAGTGCCAGCTGAGCGTTGAGCTGTAATAACTGCTTGAACCAGTAAAACCTTAGAAAAACTTCGGTTCATAAAGTAACTTTTGGTATCGGTCTTTAGACTATGACAGAAATTGCTCTGGTCTTTGCTCCGAGGAGAAATAAGGAGTAGGCTTCACTTATTAACCTAATGTTTTGCCAGCGAGACTTATTAAAGTTTTTAAAATTATTGTACTTGGAAAGTTTTTACACTTAGCAGCAATTGTAAAACTAACTTAATTGAAGAAGTAGGATTTTAAAACAATGTGAGTAACAACATGCAATTGGTACATTTCTGAACAAGTTTCATGCATACAATCTAGGTATTGTTAGTATTTGCATATACCAGACCTTCTTTTTACAAAGTTAAAGAGCTCTGTTATTTGAGATTTTATCAAGCATTAAGGGAACTCCTATATAAAAAGGACCGGTGTGCTCTTCTACCTTGTAGCGGTTATATAAACGAGCGGTTTCGAGCCTCTTAGGGTGTTCAGCTACCCACATGAGTTCCGCAGCTGGAGTTTCTGCAGTAGCTTTTACGGTACGTATTTGATAATCAACTTTACGAGTAGAAAGTACTTGAAGCAATCGTCTTTAACCCCATTAAAAATTACGAAAGTGTCAGTTAATATGTTGTTTTTGGAATTGGTTCCTCTTCAGGGTAAAAAAAATTTTACGGCACACCCACAAAATAGGATCTTGGTACCATTTAGTGGTTCTTCTTTAAGAGCATAAACAGCATATTTGAATTTTTCTTGAACGCTGTGCATGTTTACAGTTAGCTTTGTATATAGTGCGACTGAAAACGCTGACTTGTTGGTTAAATTTACATAAAGTAATAAGAGTTATAAGTAGAGTTACATAAGAAATTGTTCGCATAACATTTATCACATTTATCTTGAACATTTTGTCAAATAACAAGAACTTTAATTTCCTATAAGCATTCACTGCCTAGGAAAAGTTGACAGGCCTATTATTTCATTTGTTATATTTTAAAGTCTAGAAGAATCAATTAAACTGTAAGCAGTGTAAATCTCAGCTCGAGTCCATTTCTGTAGACTGCTTCTCAACTACATTGGGCTCTAAAAAACTGTGGAATCGTCGGTACGTGATTGACAAGGAGTGGACTAGGAGGAGTAGGGTGAAGAGAATAAAAGCTGCATATTCCTTTGTTCTCTACCTGCATACGGTAAAGAAACCCTACTCTTTAATTTCCCCGCTTTCGTTGAATGGCGGAAACGGCGAGAAAAATACGTTAAATTGTCCCTACTATAGCGACACAGTAAAGACAAAAAAAAGAAGAAACATGCCAGCTTTATATAACGACAACGTCAAATTACCAACTTCAGCGCATTATGTAGAAAGTGAATGATGTCCTTTCTCCAAGATAAAATGAAAATGTTACATGACCAAAAATCTTGCTTTTCCCATGTAATTTGTCCGGAAAATGAAAGATTTATGGAACATTACGGCGTGACAACATATCGAGCCTTTCATGTCGTCATGGGTGAATTTTCACAGGGTACGATAATTGTCTTTGTTGGCTTGCCTGTCAATGAAAACTGAAACACATAGAAAACGAAATATTGAATGTGAAAATGCTGACATGACAAGAGTCTAATTTACCTCAATGTACAGCCACGTGTGCTCAGTAGAGTAAGTTGCGTAACTTATACCCTCTGGTATCATGTTATCGTAGTTTCGTGTTAGTTAAGCTTGATTTCGAGCGACGCGTTTATTTCATACTGTACTGTAAATTGTCTTACCAACAACCCACCTATTCTGAGTTCAACTGCTGTTGTGAGGGGGACTGAGGAACTCAGGCCTGGTCAATAACCAATACAACCCTTTGTTATTTTTCTTGACCGAAGAATGGATGAAACATTCCACCGATGGTTTTGTACAGAAATCATACTTATTACTTCGGCCAAAATCTTTAGCGAACTTCAAAGTTGTATAAGATATAAAAACTGCTACCGAGTGAAATTCCTACACCTTTAGTTTCGTCAGCTCTTAGCCTGAAAATCTCGAATGACTCAACGTCTCCAGTGGTGGATCCAGACCTTGAGCTAAGGGGGGGGGGGGGCGGTTTTGTATTGCTTGCCCTACCGACTCTTCTTCCTTCTGTGATTTTCTTCTTTTTCTACCCAAAATAAGGGGGCACCCGGGGCCCCCGGGCCCCTCCCCTTGACCACTGGTCTCGACAGGTCTTGTTTTGTTGTGTCATGCCATGTTAACATGCNCGGGCCCCCCAGGCCCCTCCCCTAGATCCGCCACTGGTCTCGTTGTTTTCAATGTGAATTCTTAATACACAAGCTGATGCGAAAAACAAACTTCGGATAGTTTGTCGGTCCCTGTATCCCGTGGTGCGTGAGCTGCACTCTTTTTTGATAAGAAGATATTTTGCAAGAATATCGAGGCTGAAATTGTGAACTTTCAAGAATATTTTAATGCACCTTCTGTTTAATACCTGCGTGGACTGGCGCGAGTAAGTACTACACCGGAAGTAAAGTTGGCGAGCGAAACGGCCGGAAGCAAAGTGTTAGTGCACATAAAAACACATAAAGCTTTGTTGACGAGCAAGGCGCTTTCTGATTACATCTGCCTGTATATGCTATCGATATTCTTGCTTATATTCCTCTACATGAAGATCGTTGAGCGATGTTAGAGGCGGTTTGTGTTTATTTTGAAAAAAATCCGCAGAGATTTTTGATTTAGCGGAACGTGAAAGTGTAGCAGCAGTTTCTGTTGTCGTGGGCCATTGATCAGCAAAACATGGCGGAGGGGAAATCGGCGGGAAAAGGCTCCTATGTTTCGCTGTCGATGGACGACGTGAAAGAATCGAAATCCATTGAAAAGGAGCATGAAGAAGAAGAAGAGAAAAAAAGAGATAATCCTCGTCCGGAAGAAACTCAAAGCGTCTTCGATGATTGTTTGAACGAGTTTAATGAAGTGTTCAGACGAAAAGTAAGTTAACCTTATCAAAGTTCTTATAAGGATATAAGTGCAATTTAGGGTTAGCTCGATGTTTACAAACACCAGTCTTACTAGCAAATGTGGAGCCCTCTTAACATATGTTTGATGCTCAAGATTTTCGAACAGCTGCAAGATCCATTGTTTTCACGGCCTTGAAATATACATGTGCACATGTGGCTCGCGGCCAACGCCAACTTATATTTCAATGACAGTGACCAGCTCGAAAACTCATTAGCTACTTTGGTCACTGTACACAACTAAATATTGTTCTTCTAGTTATTTTCTATTTGTATTTTTTTAAAGTTGTTTTCTGTAAACAGTGTGCAATGATAAAAACTGAACTGAAAACTGAAACTTAGCTGCATCTTGGGAGTGGCGTGGGTTGGGGTGGGAATTTTGGGTGAGTGTACAAACAGGTCTTTTGAAAACCTAATTTCATACCAAAATTATATGTGGTTTTATGTGTACCACTGACAATAATTTTAAAAGAGCACGCAATTCAAACCAATGGCAGTGTTTTAATGAGCATCATTGTTGGTGCCAAGTGGGTAGTGCTCTTCTGGAAGGAAATCTTGCAACCATACCTGCAAATAATGCCACATTTTTTACTTTATTCAGGTCCGAGATAAGTATTGCTCAGCAGAGAATATTTCCTGGAGTAGTGCAGCTGATGAAGTTAAAGCTGAACTGTTGACTGCTAGATACGAAGAGGGTGGCAGGAAACCTTGCGACGATCCTCTTCTATTGTTACTCAAGACATGGCCAGCAAGAGAGGAGTTTTGTGAGAATCCACAGTTAATAGAGGGACAGGTTTGTTTTCAATTCAAATTAAGTTATAGTTTGGACAGGAGAAGGAAAGGTTTCTGAGTTTGTAAAAATCTATCGGGTTATTTTTGGGGGTTGATAAATATTGACCATGTGGTATAGGTTTTATTTTAGAGTGTAAGTCATGGCTTCTTAACACCAGTCCCTGAGGTGTTCACTATACTGAAGCGATAAATATTTTACAGTCTAACTTCTCCACAATGGCCACCCTAGGGTTAGAAGAAAATGGCAGTTGAATAGATGTGGCTGTTATGGGGAGGTTACAGGAGTAATAGGGCACCAGTTTTTCTCATGCTTGCAGTATTCTTACTTATAAAATGCTTATCATTGCATATAAATGTGTAACTCAATCAAAATATATAGATAATACACAAACCAAACAGGAAGAGAGACCAATAACACGTGGTACAGACAAAGTTTCGTGACTTTTTACAATAAAAAGTGGAGTTTTGTACACACCAATTGCAAGTGAGTGATTAGAAACTGGCCATTTTCGAGAGGCTATTTTGGCAGTTGGGACCTGCTTTAGTGGCCATTGCCATTGTCAAGAGGTGGCTATTGTAGAGGAGTTAAGATAATTTGAGTGAGTCATAATATGGACCGTCCGCTGGGCAAAATAAAGAGGCCATTGTAAAGAGGTGGCCATTGGTGGAGGTTTGACTGTAATTTAAGAGTGAAATTAATAGTTTATAATGTAACTGTTATTTCAGAATGCAATTCCACTTTTTCCAGGTAAATCGCCTTGTTTCAATAATCCTCAAGGAAGATAGAGCAGGAAACAGAAAGTACAAATACTTCAAGGACAAAGATGAGCTGTCCTGGAAGACTCCACTTCACTTGGTAGCAGAGCTAAACTACACAACTGTTGCTCAGACGATTTTATGTCACTACCCCGGGCAGTTATATATCACCACAAATCCACATACTGGAAATAAAAATCGCAGATACATTCCTCTTGAATTGGCACTAATCAAGTACAATGATGAGGTATCTGCTTTGCTAATAGAGCACATGAAACCTGAAAGGTACGTAGCCCATGTTGCAGGTGTGAATAAGAGCGGGCTAGGGGATCCTTTCTCTCTCCCAATTTCTGTCCCTCCTGTTTATGCCTGCTGCACTATGGCTTAGTCACTATAAATATAGCAGCATGATACAGGGATGGAGAGCCCACCAAGGAAAAACTAATTAGGCCAATAAGCAAACTTTTCTGGCCCTCTTTTCTCGACTGGTGCATCTTCAAAATGAAACTCAGTGAAATAAGTAAGTCAATGACTAAATAATTGGAGGAACAAAAGCTGTTACAGTACCTTCAGTAAAGCACTTTCCAGTTTCTATCAAACTGCACCTCACATGATTCAAAGCTTTCAATAAAACTTGATCTCTAATCACTAATGTTTTTTTCTATCACAAGAACCCTGCCTTATTTTAACTCTATGAATTTTGTTTAACTTTAGAGTCCTGAGGCTGTTTTCATGTAGTTTTCAAGACAATCCTGTCATCTTTCATGAGCTGGTGCAACACCCTAACATGAAGGTTAATTGATCTAGAATGATATACATATTAAATTTTATATTTATTATTAAGTCATTAATTAAGCGTAAATTTGGAAACAGTTTTACTAGCCGAAGGTTACTGTATTGTCAAAACGTGTCACAATTGCCTTCAAATTAACACCTGAATTAATTCAGATGAAGATAACTTATTGATATTCATTATTATTCATTTATTCATCAACAATGTCAATTATTTTATTGATTGATCTATAAATAACTTTTAACCTGGAACAATCTAGCTCATTCCCCCCCTCCTTAAGGGTCAACAGAGATACGTTATTATTATTTTATTTATACACAGTATTTAATCAACTCTTGCTACCTATCTCCCTACCTACAATCAAAGGATAAAAATTCCAAGAAAAATAAAAACTGCTTTTCATGGAGGCTGGCAACTAAGTTTAGTCTTGAACTTGGTTAATGGAGTCGCTTGTCTTAGTTCAATAGGTAAGTTGTTCCATAATGAATTGAGCTCCATTGTACAGAAAAAGAGAAGTTTTGGCATGTACAGATGGTAAAGCACATTAGATCATGTATTTTAATGAATTTTGTGCCATATAAGTAATAAAATTATTATTATTATTGATGGTACACTGTAACCATTTTTTCTGCAGAAAACTGTTGTTGCTGTGCTCAATTGCATGGTCAGCCCTGACTGGCGACACTTACCCAAACATAAAGATGATTATTCTAAACAATTGAAAAAGGACATTGAACTAGCCTGGAGTTCAGAACCAAGTGATCCCATAAGTTATCAGTTTCACTATAAAATTGTGGATGGTGATGATTGTGGAAGAGATCCTGCACATGATGACTTTAATTGGAAGACAAAATCATGCCTCTTCCTGATTGCTAACAGCGGAAATAAGGTGGCTTTAAAATGTGACTAATTTTGGAATATTTCTCTAGTTTACTGTTTCTGAGTTTGTTTAGAAACTCAAATTTCATTTCTTGTTTCCAATGAATGCAGGAAGCTATCCAACATCCAGTTATCAGACAGCTGGTGAAGAGGAAGTGGATAAAATATGGTCATTTCTGGTTCAGGTATTGACATGTACAATTATTAGGTAAAAAAAAGTCTGCGTACTGAAGTCAAGTGACCCATTAGAACAGAGCTTATCCCGGTTTCTGTAGCATGAAGTGATTAGGAGTATTTCTACTTCTCCCTGGATGGGATGCAAGTGCCCAACTACTAGTCCATCACAGGGTTGCCCCCAGCATTAAATTCATACACCTGGGTGGAGAGAGGCGCCATGAGAGTAGAGTGTCTTGCCCAAGAACAACACAATGTCCTTGGCCAGGGCTCAAACTCCGGGACCATTCAATTTAGAGATGAGCCAACTAACCATGAGGCCAAGTCTCCCACAATTATTAAATATTGGAAATTATTGAGGAGAACAGGTGTGCCAAACTAGGATAAATGGTGACCAATTTCCTAAACAACAAGCACTGAAGGCACAAGCTTCTCCCAGAAACTGTTTTGGATTTTAACTCCCTAAAGACCCCTTTCCTGGGTTTCTGAGTCATTCTGAAAAATCTAACTGATTTCCATAAAACTGTAGAAACAGGTAGGGATCTGCGCCTGGCGAATCAATCTTTCAGACTGGCACGAGAACTGATTTCAGTTGAAATTGAAAACTAGTATAGTTTAAGTTTGTTGTCAGTAGTAACTGTGAGGCCCTATTAGGGGTTTTCGGGATAAGGGTTGCTGAGGTAAAAAAGTAATGGAAGACAGGATATTTGGGGGAGAAATTAATGGGGTATAGTGTAGGAGAATCTTTAATTTTTGCAGTTGGAATGAAACAGATACTGGATATTTAGACCAAAAGTTAATGGGACATGGGATACTTGGACCCCCTACCCCCTAACTGGGTGTTAACTGTTTACCAGTATAATACAACCACAGTAAATATTCAGGGTCATGCTGCCCTATACACGCATTGCAGACCCATGTATCTTGCCTGCCAATACTGTGTCGCTTTCTGTAGCCTTTTGGCAGGCCTCTACTTGATGTACCTATTGCTGTTGTCATTCACATTACTGTATGGCGCAACTAAAGCAGACCCTACACAGTATAAGGACAATGCAGATGGATTGAGAATGGTCTGCGAGATCTTTGTTGTGTTGTGTATTGTGGCCTATATTGCTGATGAGATCAACGAGATTGAAAAGTAAGTAATTGTTGACTGCAAAACAGTCAGTTTTTCGCAAGCTTTCTCTTAAATTGCCAATACGTAATTCCCAAATGTCGCAGTTTTTGCTTTGGCATTTCACCCCCCGAGGCAGGGGGAACTCCCTTATGAAAAGGTCGAGGGTACTCAAGGGGTACTCGACGTCTCGCTTAGGAGTATAAATCAAGGGTTCTTATCTCACTTAGGGTGCTCATGACGAAACACCACTATTTTTAGCTGTCAAAGTATCTTTAACGGTGCACACAAAGAAAGTGAAATAGTAATGAAAACGCTCATATTTCCGTTTTTTAGGCTCGATTTCCGCCGGTCTCTCTAGTCCGGTCTACTGGTACGGGGTCGCATCTCTTCCGTTTTAAGTGAGATCTTTTAGGGGTCAAACAAAGGTCAAACCACGCTCAGATTGGTTTCCTTTCGGGGTTTAATTCAAGTTTTCCGACGACCATTCCCGACCTTTTCATACGGGAGTTCCCTCTCCCGGGATTACACTCTCAGTGAATGTGCACTGGTCACTAAAGAAAGTTATTGCCACTTTGAGGGGTAAAAAAGCTGACTTAATACCATTTACATTAAAAGAAGACAGCCGTAAGTAGACCAGTCAACAACAACGCTTAAAATATCAGCTGCTTTTTTCTTAATATATCTAAAATGGAGATTAATGGAACTTATCAAATCTAAGCTGACGATTTTTAAATAAGTTCAAGGTTACTTCAGCTGTCGTCTTCTTGGAGCACTCAATTCTTCTCCCTTTTAAAGAGACGTTATGCTGGGTGGCAGGCACTGAACTGGCAGTCTGTCCACACACCCTTAGTATTTTGTCTTGTGTTCGTCCGAGATCGCAAGCAAAATATAAACACGGCGCGTGGGATATTAACGAGCTAAAACCCAAAGAGGTGGAGGAAAAAAATCACAGGGAAAAAAACGTCTCTGGAGGACTAGTAGAAGGGTGAATTTATATTCGAGCGCAAAGCACGAGCGGGCGAATTCGACTTTGCCTGTCTCCCTCCCCTTTTAAACACCTGCCAGGCAGACCAAGCAAATTCCATACTAATGACGAAGCTCTACAGAGATCCGTGTAGCGTCTCTGATTGGTCGATACCTGCGCGCGAAAATTCAAAACCGATCAACAACCAATCAGAGTCTGGAGATTTACGTCATCAGTTCAAAATTTTACGGGTCCAGTCTCCGACGAAAAGAGAAATTACTTTTGTGAGTAAATAGTAGATTTATTTTAATTTTTTCTTGTTTCCTATACAGGGAACGCTTGAGTTATTTCAAACGACCACAGATTTACTTCAATCTGTTTGACTGGCTTGGATTAATCCTAATTCTTATTGTCATTCCTCTTCGTTTTTCGAGACACGAAGCGCAGTGGTTTGTCGCTTCCCTCGGCTTTTTCTTCAATGTCCTTAGACTGCTAAAGTATTCTTGTATCACTCGGTAAGTCGCTGCAGTAATTAGGCGAAAACGTTTTGTTCAAGGTTGCCTTTACCCAACATATTGTTTCCGCCTTCCACTCAAAGTGAAAGTAAGTTTAAGCAAACTAGAATTGGCAGTAGCTCTCTGAACGTCGCCAATGAAAAGGTTTAATGAACTGAAAAGTTGCATTGCACATACATTGTACATCTTTGTACGTTTCTGAGCCCTCCTTTGCAAACAAAAGCAGCTTCGATGCCATCTTCATATTAGATAGCTTATGCAAACCACGACGGCAATGGCAACGGTAACGCAAACGTCACCAAACAAAAGGTTCAATGAGCAGAACAATGGCTGTACACGTGCGTTGTAGTGAAATCTTTGCACATTTCTTCGCCGTTTTGTGTACAACAACAACGTGAAATGATATTCTGCGTATTTTGAAAACGCGAACGAGGGCGGCTAATTTTCGTATTTTCATTTGGAACTAAAAGGTGATGTTACATAATTAGCTTGAGCAAATTCTGAGACCAATAGGCGCACTGAACAGATCTTGACACTTGCGAAATTCGAAACTCTCTTGTTTTATGTTGCATTATCTTCCTTGCGCTATTTATGTATTCGTATGTTTGTTTATTTGTTTATCTATATATTTTGCAGGGCAACAGGTCTTTACACGAAGACACTAGCCAGGATTGTGTATCGCGACATTTCTCGCTTCACCTGCGTATTCCTGGTCGTTTTTCTGGCGTTTTGTGGAGCGTTTTTCTTGTCGCTACGAGCAGCCAGCGCGGTGCAAATATTTGGGTAAAGTCGGCTTTAGTTTACCGCGTCTTTTTGTGTTTGTAGAAGTCGTGGTGGAAAGAAACACGTTTTGCTTTGCACCTACGCTCGTAAAAACATTCAAAATACTGCTCAAAGGATTTTTGATTTTTACTAACCAATCACAGAATATCACACACGAGGACACACAAAGCGTGCTAAATGCTGGCACGTCAGACTTGACGTCATAAAGATATGCTATTTTGCTTGGCAACCTAATGTTAAGGAAACATTACGACGCTTACAATAGTCAATTCTTGAGGACTGGATTCAAATCAAAAATAGCCGTTCCTCGAGTGGCTTAGGATCAAGTTGGTTTTCTAATGAGCAGGACAGGAATTTGTGGTAGGTAGACTCAACGAAGCTAACTGAGTTTTCGCTGTTATTTTCTTTCCGTCAGTGGATTTAAGATGGTGATGTTAAGTGGTGTTAGAGCACTTGTGGAACAACAACCAGTAGCCGACGATTACACGAAATACAAGTAAGTCCGACGCTAAGCTTGCCAGGCAGAAGTAAGAACAACCTTTTACAGTATTGTAAACAGCACCACATGAAAGTACTGCTCAGTAGCTTTCATTTGAATGGTCACACACTAGGGTTTCATACACAGACTTTAAAGTAGCATAATGTACAGTACCACATGAAAGTACTGCTCAATAGCTTTCATTCGACGGGTCATTCACTGAGGTTTGATCCACAGGCTTAAAAGTTAGAACCACCTTACACAGCATATTAAAAATTACCAGATGAAAGTACTGCTCAGTAGCTTTCACTTGTTATCCAAGTTAGGACAACAAACACCTGGCTTCAGTTTGAGTCTGAGAGTCCAAGCTCTTGTTTGCAACATAAGCGTAAGGTTATGTCTGCGTACGAGCCAAGTGGCTCATCAGGCCGGAGCTTATCCCGGTTTCTGTAGCATGAAGCGACTAGGAGTATTTCTACTCCCCACTGGATGGGATNCCCCCAGCATTAAATTCGCCGGTACCCAGTTATACACCTGGGTGGAGAGAGGGAGAGAGGCGCTGTGGGAGTAAAGTGTCTTGCCCAAGAACACAACACAATGTCCCCGGCCAGGGCTCGAATCCAACCATGTGGCCACCGCACCTCTCACTTTGCAACATAAGATATTCAGTTAATATTCTCTTTGTGTTCTAAGATGGCTACCAGTGTTGGTGATTCTGTTGTACATGGTGGCAGTGGTGGTGATACTCTTGAATATTCTTATCGCTCAGATGAGCAGCACTTATTCCGAAGCCAAGAAAACAGCCAGACTACAATATGACGTGGATAGAATGCTGATTATAACGAGACTAGAACACAGCAGGTTCCAGAAATTTGTAAGTTGAGTAGTTTTCCTTGGACTGCCAGGCTAAACTTAAATTAAAACAATATCAGAGTTGCTTAAGTTTTAAGTTATCCGATTGTGTAACTAAGTAAATAATTGGTTGATAAAATTTCCATAAACCGGTCTCAATTGTTTTTCCGCGGTCTATAGCACTGGTTACATACGTTTTCCCGCGCAGGCAACCGGTATACGTTTTAACGCGGTTAGCGCCGGTAATATATGTTTTCCCGCGCACAAAATCCGTTCACATGTTTTCCCACGCCTAGCACTGGTTACAGTCGTTTTCCCGCGCTAAAAACCGGTCACGTTTTCCCGCGGTTAGCACTGGTTACATGTTTTCCTGCTCTCAACGACTCGCCCTGTCGCTCTCGACGACAATTTCATTTATTATATGGCCAGCTCCGTGAGCGGGCAAGATGAATCAAATCCTGCGCTATGATTGGCTACCTGAGCGGGCAAGATGGAGCTATCTTATCCGCTCGGGACTACCCGCCGTGTCCCGCAAGAAAAATTTCTCGGAAAGCCATACAATAAATCCTTTATTGACCAAGCTTGTTCGGTCAAGATGGCTGGATATCGGCCTCGTTCTTTTTTTGCGTTGGCCAATATCCAGCCATCTCGGCTTGACCTCACACTTGGTCAATAACCCATATATATTCCCTTCCTTTACGATACCAGGTAAGCTTCCTATGAAGTTTGTTTAAAATCAAGTCAAAATTACTGCCAATCTCTTTTTGACTAAGCTCATTATCTCTCGTTCTTTCCAGAATCTACGTTTGAAGCACTACCAAGAGGACGACATTATAGACGAAATGACCTTAGCAAAAGGTACGAAAGACATAAACGAAAGTCTAGGCTAAATCGACGAGTTCTGGGCTCCTATAAATTCCGGTTCTTCTCCATCTTGTCAGTGCCATCACTTGATAACGCCCGCTAGCACGCGCTTTAGGTCTTAAAAACCATTGCGGATTAAGTGCCGTTTCTGCGAAACAGTTTTAAGTTGATGAAAATGCGAGTTTGATTTTTTTCGTTTTTTCCTTCTCGTAGATTTCCTAGAGTACAATGACGATAGGTCACCTTGGGAGACAGTTGAGGAGAAACTGGATGAAATCAGGTTTACATCCGGATATTTCTTTGCTATGGTAATTCATTTCCAGAGTCGTGTGTATTTTAACGAGATATTTTGCTTTTCTTTATAGGAATATTATGCGGAAGATCATTAAAAGAATTCCACTGCTTGACGAAGATAAAGAAAAATAAAGTAGCCAATGTTTAGAGGAGCAGAGATGGCGCAGTGGTGAGAGCGCTCACCTCCCACCAGTGAGGCCCGGGTTCGATGCCGGCCCGGTGCCATATTTGGGTTGAGTTTGTTGTTGTTGTTCGGAGGGCTTTTCTCCGGGTTCTCCAAATTTCAATTCGACAAGAATAGAAGACCCACATGAAAACCAGCCGGCTAAGGCTAATGCTTAAGAAACTAAACGTCAAGAACAGTAATGGGAAATTTGTTTCCTTCAGGGAAATACGAAATACTCAACAATTTCGTCTATGAACAGGGTTACGTCTATGAACGATAAACAGTGCGCTGTATATAACTCCACTCTGGTACTTGTACTGTGGCCCTGTCGACACCAAAAAGGCAACGGGACGAAATATTTAACTTGTACTAGAGAAGTCAAAGAGCGACATCAAATTTGATAAACAGTGTTTGGTGATAGCCGAAGTTACTCACAGGTTTGAAAACTTTGAACTTAGCTCAATTTGTAGCGAAAATATGCTTTACGTAAACGTAATGAAATGGCTTAAAAATTAAAAATAAATAAATAACAACAGCAAACGCGTCTCTGATCAATTGCTTTATTATTCGATGTTTTGCTGTATTATCGTAACATGTACATCACTCAAAAATAATTAGAGCTCAATCTCCTGCTTTTCCTTGCCAGTCTAATATTGATAGTAGGACACCTGAAAACAATTCAGTTTCTCGCGACGGAAGTACAGTTTAATAGTTTATAGCTCAGGAGTCCTTCTTTGGTTCGTCACGCAACGATTAGCGTCGTGTCACTGCCGGAGTGAAGCGTAACCTAACAAAGTGCTGTGAAAGAGACTAACCCACTGGAAAATTTGCTCAAGAATAGAATTAGTGCAGTGGAATTTTGCAGTATACGGTTGGCGTAGATGAAAGCATTGAAGCGTTAGTGAATAAGGTTAACGTTTCTTAATAATTTCCTTAATTTTGTCGACAATTTGATCCACTTCTGGGTTAGCCTTGAACTCCAGTGTCCCACTCACGTGGAAGATTCTTTTGGGTACACGATCATCCAGCCATTGATCAGGGGCGCGTACCTGCCTTTGAGAGACCTATGAAAGGGGGACCTGGTGCCGAAACGAGGTTGCATTGTCTTGCTTATATTCAGGTCATATTACAAAAGCACGTGATCTAAGATTATGCAGTGAGTCACGCTTACTCATCGCTGAGACATTTTTGGAGAAATTCTATAGAACCAACCCACAAGAAAAGTAAGTTACTATAGCTTTGTTTAGAGCAAAGGGTTAATGCGTGTGGTATATGTATTTGGCAGTTGTTGTCAGTAGTAGTTGCTTCTCACCGATGCGTTACTTCGAGCTGTTATGTCATTAAAATCTGACACGCATTAGAGGTACATAAATGATGAAAAATAGTTTAAGATAAATTTGGCAAATGATGCGAAGGCAGACGCGACTACGCGATCTAAATTCTCTTGGGGTGAAGCAAAACTTAACGAAAACTTAATTTTCCAGATAAAAATTAATTAAAAGAAACAAACAGCAACAAATCCTCGCTACCAAATCAAGATCGAGGGTCATATGACACGACTCTGGGTGCCAGATGTAATTTCTGTCACTTCGCTGGAGAACTTTTAAAACGCAACTTTTTTTCCAAAGTTAGACCTACCGCGGTCCAACTAATCCATCACGAGAACAGGAATTTGAAAACGCCGGCTGTGCGTTTTAGTCACGGTGAACGGAAAGCATTTTGAAAACGGATCTTTTCGAAAACGATGACCTCACGACAATCATGTGACTTCCCCGCTGGAGTTTTCCTCAAACACAACATGATCTAAAATGACCGGCGATTGTTGCGTTTTCAAATTCCTCCAGCGTCGTGTTGCGAACAAACCGCAGATCTTAATTTGTTATAGGCCATTTAAACAGAAAAGATAATTTTTATCGGACAATTTTTTTTTTACTGAAATCAAATAAAGCTGTGCAAACAAAAAAATTAAAATCTTGAGTTTTATTACTTGACTGAACCTCTCGTAATTTTTCATGTTCAAAATGTTACACTGCAGATGAGTTTGATCTTTAATTAATGGCATCATCTTTTTAATTTCTGTTTTTCATGACTGCTAGCCATACCGTTCTTTGTTCAAGTGCATTACGTATACCTTGACGCGATACCTGTTTATTCGCAGGTTTTTCAGTTACATCTTCTTCGTAAGCAGTGTGACAAAGTACCATGACTTCTCTGAGCTGCTTCGCCGTACTTTTATGCGTAGCAATAAGCCATTTATCCACTCCTGTGTCATCCCAAGATCATTATCCGCCGGGTTGGTGGGACGCTCCAAGCTCCTTAGATGACTTCCCTGTGGAGCAGATAGATAACAAAACCATGATAATCGTCAATCCCTGGGATTATCTACAGAGAATGGGAATTTTCAAGCTAATGGTGCAGACTACCCAGGGGTATTTTAAATCCTGGGGATATAATAACACTGGGAACCTCCTCTGGGGGCTGCCGCTCCAGTTCGGATGGCAAATGACTTCTGGTCGACTCCGCGATATGGCTGAAACCCAGGGATGCAACGCCAAGAGCCACTGTGTGTCGCCAAACAGTTGGTGGGCTGATATGAATTACTACCTCTCTGTCCTACCATTCCTCGGGGCTTTAAATGCTGGTATATTCTCTCCTCTGGAGTATCCTATGTACATTACCCCACCGGTTAATGTGAGCGACAAAGTCAAACAGAAGTTCTGTACCAGTATTCCAGAATGTTCGATGAATCACCCCGAGGTTATTCGCGACTGGACCGAGTTCTTCGAGCGAGTTGATTCTTTTCATCATTCGTCTTCGCGCTTTGATCCTGATAAAGATGTTACAGTAGCATTGCTGTGGAAAGCACACACAACATCAATACTAAGAGGTGAGTAAAGTTCACAAAGCGTTGAGGGCGCGGTGGCCTCATGGTTAGTGGTCTCGTCTCCGGATCGCCTGACCGGAAACTTTGTGCTGTGTTCTTGGGCGAGACACTTTACTCTCACAGTGCCTCTCTCTGCCCAGGTGTATAAATGGGTACCCGCGAATTTAATGCTGGGGGTAACCCTGCGATGAACTAGCATCCCGTCCACGGGGGAGTAGAAATATTGACTTAGTCACTTCGTGCTACAGAAACTGAGGATAAGCTCTCTCCTGATGGGCCACTTGGTTCGTATGCAGACTTAACCTTTAAAGCTCACAAAGCGACGCTGAAACAAATTTAACTAACTGCAATCGCCTGCAGTGGCGGGTTCATCTGTAAATGTCAAGATTACAATAAAACATCCCTTTATTTTGTTATTTTAAGGCGGAAGTATAGCGAAATAGCGGCCTACTCTGAGCCCTAACGTCGCCATTGGAGTTGATTTCAGGTGTTAAAATGGGCGTTTTTTCCATCGGACATTTAGCGTTTTAAGAACCCAGAACAAGCCTACTGAATTCGTACGCTTTTTCTGGGGAGAAACGTAAGACATTTTCAGTTGTTTGTTTGTTTGTTTGTTTGTTTGTTTGTTGCACAAGGCGTCTAATTCAGTCGCAGAATGACATGCATGGGATCGGGTCGACAAGATATAGAGAAGAGGTTGAAATCTCTTTGTATGAGACCTAAGCATTACTACAAAAAACTACCAAGTAAACGCTGGGAAAAATTTCACTTTCTTAGTTGATGTAATCATTTCGTTCTTTCTTTTGTTTTTCAGCGCAACCTCTTTTCACCCAGGAGGTCAACCTATTGTCATTGCCTGAAAGGAAGTTCGGGGTGGGCTGGGCCCTACTTGTAGAATTTATCGCAGCTACACACTTTCAAACAAATCTCAATAACACCGCTGAACAGCAGATAGCGTTACCGCCCAGAATCTTGAAAAGCGATGACAGAGTTCCTTTTATCCCAGATTTCACTCAAGCACAAAATCGTGCTCTATTGGCGATCAATTTTTTTCACAGTACAGATGTCGACACAGAGGGGCTGTTGCTGAAGTTCTGGCGTAGAGCTATGTGCTCTCCGAAGGGGCGCGCTATTGGCAGGGACCTCCTGGAGAACCTCATAGACAATCCTTGGATCATTCCCAAAAAGCTCTTTAAACTCCTTTGGGGCTTGCTGATATACCCCTGCTAAACCCCGCAAGGACCCTCGCCAGGTATAAGATTCTGGTTCCACTGCTGACACTGTTGACTGTCTCTCAAAAGGAGTGCTAATGATGGAAGAATAAGATAGTGAACCTCAAAGTGGTGTTTTCAATGCTTTGCTGATTTGGAGTTGTAAACAGGCTTCTTCCTCTCACTGTCACGCAACGCCCGTACCGTAGGCTTTGGAGCACAGCGAACGAGTGTGCTGTGCTACCACTGTAAGACGTTTTAAACGCGTTTATCCGATCTCTTTTCAAAAGCAAAATATGCAAAAGTCACTAGGAGCTAGATGGTCTGCAAATGCCTAATAAGCCTTGTGTTGTGTTCTTAAGCGGGGGGGGGGGGNGAGGGGGGCAGTAACTTGTGACGAGCTAACATCTCTTTCAGGGGGATTAGCATCACGCCTAGATTAAGACCACAACCACTCAAATCACATTTTTTAAAACACAGAGCATCATACTAACAACCCCGTTTTGAGGCAAAACTACTCTTGGGTATATTCTAGCTCATTCTGACACTAACGTAAAAATGACACTACCGGAGTGATAATAACAATGTAGGGAACAATAGAAGCCTATATCAAGATATCAGACTGCAGTTGTGATCTATTCCAGAAACCTTGATTCAGCTCGGCAGTGACCCATATTGACCCGTTTTACTGGACACTGCAACCCTGCTCATCCTCATCCTATTTTTTTTTTAATTTTGCTTTTTTTTTATCTGATTAGAGAAACTTTTTTCCGATTCATAGCTCCTAGACGAGAATTTCTAGCCTCTCTTAGCAAAGGTCTGCTGGGGAACTCTGAATACTTGCGAGACGATGTGGCGAGCTGAGGTCTGCGATCAGCTACAGTAACCGCCGGTCTGTTGTCAAACAGAACGTACTGACTAAAGATGGCGTGTAGGTCTGGTGTGAGCGTTCGAGCCACTGCAGGAATACTACTCTGTCTGCTGCTATAGGCAGAGGAAGCGCTAGTGACGCGTGTGTTTTCCAGCTGGTTATCAGCGTCAAGCTCGGGGTGAGAAGGAGTCCACATTTTCGCCAGTCCGATCTTTCGAGTCACCGCGGGTTCACTGCGAGTTGTCAGTCGCGAAATGGCTCGCGCATCCACGCGCGGGGAAGTAGACACCTTACTGGCGTGACCCAGTTCTAGCGAGGTCTTTGGACGAATTCGATCCTCCATCTTCTGAGCGTTCTTTTCGATTTTCTCTTTGTCCAGGTTTCTTTTCGTTTTCTTCGCCCATTCTTTGTCGCTTAAGAAAAACTCCGTGTCTCGAACACAGTCTGAAGCGTTGGCCTCTGTTTTAAGAATTGTAGCGCATTCGCCATTAGCCATTTTGGCAGCTAATAAATAAGCCGAGAAGCCTTTCTTGTTTCTCAGGTCCACACTGAGCCTGTATTTAAGCAACACATGCAATATTTCACGCAGAGTAGGTACATTGCCTGACATGGCGGCATACATAAGTGGAGTATTGCCTTCTTTATCAGCCTTGTTGACGTCACAGTCATCATCTATTAGTAGTTTAACAAGCTTACAATGGCCATGCTGACAAGCATAAGACAAGGCTGTCCTTCCCTGGTGATCCACACACTCCACGCCGGCGTCGCGGCTTAACAAGAGTCGAGCAATCCGCGTAGCTAAGGTGTCTTTGGATGCGCAAGCAGCCATCATAAGCGGAGTACGACCTTGGTCATCGACTATTTTTGGATTAACACCAATATCCAACAACAGACGAATCTGGTGAAGCCTTCCTGAGCACACGGCTTGGTGAAGACAAGACAAAGACATCGTTCATAAAAACATCGACAAAAGGTGTAATCAAGAATGATCAAATGTAAGATGATGTCTCTAAGAATCTCCTGACGACAATCGCATTTTCCGATCCTTTTTCCCCCACTTGTCCGTTAAAGACGTCCTTGTGTCGGACAAAGCCAGAACCTAACGGTGGCTCAAGGTGAAAATTTCATTCCTTGACTAAAATATCACTAGGAGTCAATAAGCGAAATCTTTGTTTTCAATGGCAACAGACAGTTTATAATGATATGGTATTGACCTCATACACAAGTCATTCAGACTCCCCTGGGAACAAAAGCCACTCAATAATCACAGTCTAATTACCCTTCTGCTGAATGGAATAACAAACAACGATTTCAAAAGCCTTGGATTAGGTTAGCTTTGTGCTCAGCCAAGTACGGAGTTGCGCATCGTGGCACCAAATGAAATTACATATAAACACTGGCACAAAAGTTAACAAACCAAGCCTCAGTCCAATGTCACATTAATGTCTTATGGAGGAGGCATATTGATATTGCTCTTGAAAAGCAAATGAACCGAAGTGAAGACAGAGCCATTATCATGGTTATAAACAGAACAGGATCGAGCCCAGACATGAATTAAGCCACGTTTGACTGGGTAAGGTATTATTTATCGACCTTTGTGACGGTAATTCTTTTCTTCCATTTCGAAGTCAGTCAAGGTTAACATGTAAAAACGAAGTAACACTCGGACTTCTCGGTCTAGTGTGTAACTTCACGTGAAACGCCGATTAGGTAAATAACAACCGCACACTTGACATTCGAAATAGAACGAATTTTTCTCAATTTAATATTGATCTCGAATTCATTTTAAAACAAAGAAATTAAAGCGAGCAAAGTAAACAAAGTTCAGTTATCTCTGTAAATACAAGTCATTGTTGATTTAAGCCGCACGATATTGGCAAACCCTACTTTTTCCGTGCGGCGCCAATATTTCCATGAACAAGAGCGTCCTGGTGGTCAATAAGTGATTTATCACATGGCTAAATGGCGCAAGGGTAGAATCAACCACATGGTGCCCATTACAGTTTACATCAAATCCCGGAATAAAATCCCACTTATTTTTACTTGAACAGACAGAAGTTAGGAGAGCATTGAAAAACGCATGCGCAAAAAAGGCATTCATCCATCTTCATTTCCTCCCTCTTTCCCTCTCAAATTCCATCTGTGGCGACTTAGTTTAGTCTTGCACTCCTTCTAACCTCCCTTCCCCCATCCATGCCTCCTTCTCNCCCCCCGCCCCACATCCTTTCCTCCTCCCCTCTCTCTTTCCATTCATCCCTTCTTACCTCCCCTTTTAAAAGTGGGAGTTTGATTTATTTGTGTACTTTTTCACGGCTTTATTCATGTCTTCCGCCGTTTCTTCGATTAAGAGGTGGACGGAGCAGGAGGATAGAGGGGCGAGTTTTCACAGTTAATGCTTTTTAAGTTCCGATTTAACGTTGCCCACCCAGAAATGACAACACGTATCTCGTGTCAAAATGATATTTTATTTAGGAACATCAAAAGTTCAAAATACCATGGCAAAAGTACCGTCCTCTAGACTTCATTGGCTTATTTCCATTTTTTTGTGTAACTGATTTCTTGCTTCTGAAATAGAAAAAAAAAATGCAACATGGAAGTTACGAAGGGTACAAATAGCACCACTCGGTGAACAGTGCTTTGGTAGCTAGTAGCAAATCAGCTTACCGTTCCACGTTCTCCTTAAAGTAAATATCTTAATTGACTACTCTCCCAATGGGGCTTTTCAGGGCCAGTAAAACCAAATGATGAAAAAAATAATGCAACTTCGCGTTCTCTCATATAAATTACTTCCACCCATCCCAGTTTCTAAGGGAAAATTCCTGAGAACAAAGTTGGGTCTTCTTACGGAAGGTGGTCGTCACGCAACCCTAGTTAAACCATTGCGTGATGACTCAAATTAAAAGCGTGACGCAAAGGTTCCCGACTCCAAGTCATTTCAATTTCAAAATTAATTAATTAATTAATTAAGCTGGTAGGAGTAAACGAGGTCTTGGTTAGGGCTTCAATTTCATGCGGGTGTTGGATCTTATAGCCATTAACTCTGACCCATGTGGCCAGTTTTCTTCGTGTTCCCCTTCAGAGAACAGTCCCATTGGACACGAGTATTTTTGGACGTAAGATGGCTAGAAGGAGACTATACATTCAGGAATAGGAATATAGTTTAGCTTGATGTTAGGTGAGCGGTGAGCAGGGTCATTTTCACCTCAGCACTCCCCCGTCCCTCCCCCCCCCCACCCCCCTCAATCCTCTATCGTTCTTACCACTATGAATTCTGTAGTCATTGGTATGTACTTCATGTATGTACTTCAGCATGTGACCTTCTTTCCAGGTGTCTCTATTTTATTCAACTGCGCAGTCATTCCCTTCAGGATAAGCAGCAGTTTGTCAAAACCGTGCCAACTACATGAATTAAAGTTAAACCTGGGAAAAAGTCGTACAAAAGCACAAGCAAAAGTTCTGGAAAATGTCAATAATTTACGAGGAATGGATGACCCGGAAATTCCTTCAAACCGTTAAACTCGGGGTTGGTGACACGTTCCTTCAGGCGGCTTGCAACAGTTTCCAGTACTTTCCAAGAGTTAGATTTTAATGGGTCATTATCACCACTCTTAATCAGTTGATACTACAGTCATCATATCAAAAAACTGTCCAATCATTGGTGATCTCGTTATCATTTTCGTGACACAGTATCTTACCATATCTACAGTATGGCCTGCTAAAAACACCCTTAATTCCAGCTTTAACTGCAAATAACTCAAAAACAAGCTTAGCACCCCCCCCCCCC